CCCTTGGACTTGAACTTGAACTTATGACATCGGGACTGACTGTATACTACTTTGACTGGTGTAAGTGGTTTGAAACATGCAACCAATCTAGGTAAATATTATGGAATTTTTGTAAAATATTTTTAGAAAAAGATTGTTGTTAGTCAACAAATAGCTGGAGTCGGTCATTGTCATGCTTTGTAAAATGAAAATGATTGAGCATGTTTTTCATCACAAGTTTTCACGAGAGTAAGACCATAATTTGTTCCATGTGCTAACCCAATACCTGTAAAAGTGAACAAGTGTTGTAACTTTTAATTTTGTTGAGTTGTGTTAGGGAGTGACTAAAAATCTTGTATTAAATGTTGTTATATATCTTTGTGGGGTTAATGCCAAGTTATCTCAAGACAAGACAGTTACACCTTCGACTGTATGACACAATGAGGTTAATTGGATTGAATTTGTTCGTTTTGTTTTGTTTATTGCATTAATGTTAGAAAAAAAAATCTTTTTGTACATATGTTATTTTCATTAGTTTTTCTTTTATTGCATGCATTCACTCTTAATTCCCTTTAGGTCTTTTTCGTTCCTTCCGTTCTTTTCATCTTAGTTTCTTTTTTGTCACCTATCGTCTCCTCTAGAGTGATTCTTAATTTTGTTCTTTCTTGAGGACAAGAAAGGTCTAAGCTTGGGGAGGTTTGATAGGTGCATTTTATGCACATATTTTGCATGTTTATTTTCGTCCTTTCATAGCATTCTACTTCATAATTCTTTCATTTAGTTAATTATTTGGGCAATTGCATATTCCATTAAGAATGTCCAGTACTTCACTATTTTTGATTTATTTTGCAGGCATTATAGAGCGTAGAGCTTGGATGCATGGAGCATGGAACATGTAGCTTGGAGCATGGAGCTTGGATGCTTGGAGCATGGAGCATGGAGCTTTGGAGTATGAAAAGAAGATGTATCGGTCATGCCATGGAAGAGAACATGAAGCCATAACCCGAGTCATTGTTGCATTATCATCATAACACATGACTACGTTTGAAACACGGTTCATGTCGCACCGACATGGGTCGTGTTTGTCCTTTCTCATCTTATATTTGAGCAACATGACTCGTGGTGAAACTAGACTAAAAATGGAGCCAACAGTGAAGACTTATTGGACTTTTAGCAAAAAGCATGGGTCATGCCAAAAACACATGGTCAAGACACATGGCCATGCCAAAAACACATGGGCAAAAGGCATGACCATGCTAAAAACGCATGGTCGTATGGCAAGCACGTGAGCCTTAATAAAAACAAGGGAAGACGTCATTTTATCATCCAGAGACAATTTAGGGAGCAGTTCTGGGCGATCTTGGGCAATTTTGGGAGATTTCTTGAAGCTTTTGAGAAGACCAAATCATTGCAAACACTTTTGATTTCATTTTAGTAAGCATTAAACATTTCAATTCCATCTTTATTCTTGTTTGATTTGTTCTTAGTCATGTGTGGCTGAGAAACCCTAATTTATAGTTCTTGTTCAAAACATGTTGATTACTTGACTTGAAGCATATGATTTGATGTTTGATTTGTGATTCTATTCTAGTGATTATCTTTTTGCTTTAATTAGAACCCTTGAATTTGATTTGTGTTTGATTGGCCACTTTCATGAATTGAATTTTTATGTAGTTAATTAACTTGTAGGGCACCTAATCGTTCTATTAAGTTAATAATTGGTAACAAGCAATAAGTTTTCTTATTGTAAAACATATATCACATGTTTTCACACTTCCGAGCATATGAGAAGAAATGAACATTGTTGGGAAGCTTGTACAAAACTTAATGATGTTTTTCAATACAATTTAAGAGCGTGTTTAGGTTGAATTATTAAAGCTAGGTCTAGTCAAAGAGCATGTTTTGGTTAGATAATTTGACAAGAGAGAGGTATTAGAGCGTGTTAATATCTTTCAGTACCAAGTTAGAATGACAATCATTAATTACATCAAGTCATAATCAAGTTGAACAACAACATTAAGAACTAAAACTAGAACCATTCAATCAAATTGTTTACAAGTTTATTTCATTTTGTGCATGCTTTTAAAGTAGATTGTTATTTTATTATTTTACTTTTGCAAAAACCCCCTTTGTGACCAAAGTACCTTGCGTAAAGAGGTATAGACTTTTATCCCGTGTCTCTGTGGTTCGACCCTGCTTGCCTTGTACTACTTTTTAGTGCATTAAAGCAGTGCATTTGGAGTCTGTTGTACCCCTTTTATTTGTTGGGTTTTACACGCCTAATACCAGGGTTTTATGGAAACAATGATTTTATCTAAATGAAAAATGAAAATTTTATCATGATTTTTGGGATGTTACAGATTCTTTTTCGCCGGCAAAAATGGATCTCGTGAAATCCTTATCGCCAGAAAAACAAATTTAGAACCCCGGCGAACAGAAACCCTTGACACGATCTCTAGAATAACATTCGGAGAAGATCTTCATACAACATTCGTGCATATGTGTCTCTTAGAGTCAAAATCTACAAACGATTTCTTGCATCAAACTCCAGATTCAAGAAATTGGTCGGAGTTGTAGGTTTCGAAGTGGAGATGAAAATTGTCTGACTTGCAGGTTTCAAATGGGAGATGAAAACGATAGAGAGCTTTGGCTTTGAATATGTTTCCGGTGGCGAAACTTGAAGAAAGAGGTAGAGGTGGAGCAGCAATGGCCAGCGGTTTCCAGTGGAGTTATGGTGGTCGGAGTTTCCGACGGAGAGAAAAATATCCTAGTGGTAATATTGTTTACCGATGGCTGTCCGGTAGATGGAGAAGAACGAAGCTAAGGAAAGGGAAGAGGGAGGGGTAGGTTGGGGTGTAAATATCTATTTTCGTTTTCATTTTTTTTCAATTTAAAAATGATAAGTAAATAAAATAAAGGAAATTATTAAGGGCAAAATAGTCATTTTTTGTATGTAAGGACGAACCGAGTGAAAAAACTATTATATAAGGACGATCCGAGTTATTTTTAAAAATAATGACTAAACGTATATTTTGACACATGCACGAGGCATGATTTGTATAATTTACTCAATAATATAATATATTAGTGAAAATTGAAAAGGTTATCACTGTTTTTTCTAAAACAAACTATTCAAATTGTCTTCAATTGCCAACAAAACCAATATATTGTATAAAAAGTAATCAGCTTAGGTTTTATGTGTTTTGACATGCTATTAAAAGCTAACCATGTCATTTACATGTTTTTATTTTAGCAAAAGTTTTAAATTTTATTATAAATTTTGTAATAACTTTTTTTTCCAAATTTGTTTTTACAACTTTTTAAAAGAATTTTGCACAATTTTTTTAGAATATTTTATAGACTTTTTTTTACAAAAAAAGTAAAATAAAAATAACACTTTTTTAAATGTTTTGTAACTTTTTTTTATAAATTGTTTTACAACATTTTTGAACTTTTGTATAACTTTTAACCTTTCTCTACACAATTTTTAAATGTTTTTTATAATCTTTTTTATAACATATTTAAAAAAAATTTACAAATCTTATTAAACTTTTTTTTACAGGTTGAGGAACATAAGGAAAAAGTTTAAAACGTAAATAATTTTTTCTTAAAAAGATGATTTCACAACCAAGGTATAGTAGGTTTAGAGTCATGAAAAACTTTCGAAAAATTTTGATTTTTTTTTAAAACCTATAAAAAGAAATCTTCATTCTTCTTAAATATTTTTATTTTCGTTTCAAAATTTTAAACATTTTCCTTATGTTTTGTTCAACCTTCTTAAGTTGTAAATTAAGTTTAAAGTTGATATTAAAAAAAAAAAAGATATTGTAAAAAGGTTAAATGTGTTATAACGTAAAAAAATTATAAAAAGATTTTGAAAAACTGTGTAAAAAATTAAAAGGTTATTAAAAAATTTTAAAAAGGTTGTAAAAAATGTTAAAAAAAACTTGTAAAAAGGTGTAAAAAGTATTTTAACTTTAAAAAAAAGAAATTGAAAAGAAAAATAGTTTTGAGACAGTTTTGTAAAAATAAAGTTTGGACCAAATTTATAACAAAGTTTAACTTTGTCCAAAAATATAAATTTCTGGTATAAAATTGTAATAGCAGTTCAAAGCACATAATTATAAGTTTGTTACATTTATACACATAAATTCCAATTGTTCGCAGCTTGAAGAGAGCTTGAATAGTTTGTTTCATAAAATCAGTGATAATCCATATTGAACATAAAAAATGTGTCGAACTCAACATAGAGCATTTGTCTCCCTTAATTGAGATTACTAGTTTAAAACCAAGCAACTTTTTTTTTTAATAAAATCTGTACAAAGAAAAGGTTCGACAGTAAATTGTTTACAAAAAATTGCCATAATTAAAGTTCAGCAATCACATGACATCTTAAATATGTATTAAAAACCTAGTGGTAGTTTTAAACAAAAATAAAAAAATTATTAGTAAATCATATAAAAATTATTCACTATAAAATATGTACAAAATAAAAAATTGGTTATCATTGTAGGTTATTATTGTTTTCCTTTCGAAGGCAAACAAAATCACTTCTTAATAGGATGTCGCTTTTATAAGATATACAAATAATTTAGTTGTCATTCAAAGACAAACAAAATAATTCTTAATACGATGTTGCTTTTATAACATATATAAATAATTCAGTTGTCATTGTATTCCAATTACTTGTATTGTTAAAACTTAAATTTCTAGAACATTTTGCTATTATATATTGCCTAATTAAATAAATATCTTTTACGCTTTCTTGGATTTTGTCTATATATTATTTTGCTATTTTATTGTTTTACGTGAAAGAAAACCGATTGACAGATATCGGTTTAACCTATAAAGTGAATAACAAAAACAATTTTTTGGAGGGGAAAAAGGATTTTTTTTTTTCCAACGAAATCAAGTCGATTCATGTTAACCCCTCCATTTTCTATAGAAAAAAGAAAAAGAAAAAAAGATCAAATCAAGTAAGATGAAATCTTTGTTACATCTATTATAACTTATAGTAATTCATTGGACAATAATTAATAGATGAGATGACGTTAAATAATTACACAAAAGGGCAGGGCATATCTTCTCTTAAGTCCAAGCTGCAAGAGAAGCCATTAATCCAGCCCCAAGAAAAAGCGCAATAAAAGACACCATTTGATCCCCTAATTTGCTTCCCATCCTCTTGCTCAAAAACTCAGCAGCAATCAAATCCACTAAAGCCATATAAACTAAAATCCCAGCAGAAATAGAGTCCAAAATACCTTCAATAATCAGAGCTTTAGGGCTATTAGGATTATAAAATGAAGAGATCCCTATCCCTATCCCGACACTTAAAGGTGTCGTTATTGCAAAAAAAAACGCCATCACTGTGGATCGAAGCATCCCGAATCTTGCTTCTGAGATGCAACCAGACAATGCAAACCCTTCAAAGAACTGATGAACAGATAGTGCCCCGAGCAACGGTCTAATCGTACATGGGCTTTGTGAAACTCCGAGCGATAGACCAATGATGATCGAATGTGACACTATTCCAAGTTCCAGTACCTGTGTAAAAGTTAAGTTGTTAACAGGTACAGTACAAGTACATGAAAATTACAGGTACAGGTACAAATACATGAAAATTACCTGTACGGGTATATGATGATTACCTGTACGGCTGTACCGATACAAATACATGAATTTCATGTACATGTATATGTACTAGTACTCGACTACTGTTACTAGTACCAGTACTAGTACTGGTACGAGAACAAGAAGATTACCTGAGAAACGACAACATTTCTTGCAACACCGTCGGTATCATCACCAAAAGTATGCGAGTGTGAGTGGCTGTCCGAGTGGTCGTGCATTTGACCATATTGACCATCCACACTCGCGATTTGAATCCCACCGCCATCCTCGTCAGCACCGCCATCTTTCACCACCAACGGAACCACCACGGATGCAAAAGCCAAGTCATCCGGCTCAATTTTACTAGTTTTAATCTGCGTATTCTTGTGTTTGCTCTCATAATATTGAGTGGTTATGAAGTCAGCAAGCAGTGTGGTCAAAGCAGCCATCATTGCAATGAAACCAGCAAAAGGGAAAGTTGACCAAGGGATTTCAGGGAGACAAGGGTTAGATAATGCTGACATGGCATCTGGTAGCATGTGGACGAATCCTGTAGCAAGGATGACACCAGCTGCAAAGGATTTAATGGCAAAGAAGAAACTGGACTCCGTTTTGAGAAGTCGCCAGTTCTTGCCAACTAATGGAATGGCCGATCCTAGGGCTCCGGCGAGAAAGATGGAAGCAATGGCCACAATTTTGAGAATCAGAGCAGTTTTTTCATCCCGGCATGCTTCTAATTCCGGCGACCCACTGCAACTACTGGTTGACATTGATATTGAAAGATTGCGTGAAAGGGAGCCCTTTTTTGATCCAAAAGGAAGAAAGTATCAATTTTGGTACTTAGAACAGGAAGCTATCATGAAGTAGTTGCTGACTGACAGAATTGAAGAAGTCCATCAAACTGTTCAAAATAAATTCATTTTCATTGAAAACTAATTGTCGTTATTACAATAATAACGCCAAAAAAATCTCATTGACAAAATCGAAATATCTTTGTCAAATTCTGCAAATGTAATTGCTCAGTTTCACCAATAAAAACAGAAAAAGATGTTCAGATAAATAACTTCTCGATCATGTGATGAGGTGGTTTATTAAGTCACAAACAATTAACAAACATGTCTAATAATATCTAAACAAAACTGAAATTTAAAGCAATCAACAGAAAGATGGACAAGCTATGATCATCGATCAAATGGAACTAAACAGATATGCTACTGAACGGATAAATGGATTGTCGAAATCACCTGGTGAAAAGGGAACGTTTTCTTTGATTATGTGTAGAAAAAGCAATGGGAAGAAATCCTGAGAGAAGAAGAAAAACAGTGAGGAGTTATAGATTTGAAGAAACAACTGGAATTAAATGAAAGAAAGTAGGATGGGGAAGAATTGCCTGAAGCGGCGACATGGAAGTATTAAATTCTATGAATGATAAATTTGGGGAAATAAGATAGCGTCTGGTGTGAGAATTGAATAATATTATTGGAGTTTGAGGAAGATCATGGACGCACGCTTTCTCTCCTTCTCTTGCAGTTGACAATTGGGAAGAAAGTGAATATAAATGCCTTTTCAAAACTTTTTTATTCTGAAAATACTATGAAAAAAGCTATCTCTGTAACATGAGAATTTTTTTATTCAAAACTTGTTTTTTAAGAAATTTATAGATATACAAGTTATTGCATTTTCTATTAAATTTTGTGGTGGGCCAATGTATATTTGTTTGCGGTGGGCCAATGTATAACTTAAATTTTAGTTTTAGTTGTGCGATAATAAATGAAGATAATTTTGTCACATGTCAATCTCTAATGAGTTTTGACACTTGTTATTTTGTAATATTTTTTAAATAAATAATATTCACATGTCAACTTATGGTTTTTTTTTAATTTTTAAAATTAAAAACCACATAATACTTATAATTATATATGTAAACTATCAAATGTAATAAACATTATAATAAATTGCGATTAATATGTTTCTTATTTCAAAATTTCATTCCTTATTTCAAAAAAATTTATTTTAGAAAATACTTATTATTTATATTTTAATATTTTTTTTTAATCAATCCGTGTATTACACGGGTTTTATACCTAGTAAAAAATAATAAAATAAAATAAATAAGTTTGTTTGTGGTGGGCCAATGTATATTCATAGTCAATTAATTGTAAGCACCAAAGGTATATAAAAGATAATAAAATAATATAAATAAATTTGATGAGTCAAATAAATAAGTTAACGAATAAGCTTTTATATTGGAGATTTTTGTTAAGTTTTTTGAGTTAATGAGTTGAGTATAACATGATACAAGAAAGGTTTTATGACTTTAATAAAGATCTATGCGTACGATTATAAAATATATCATCAACCTGAAAAAGAAAATGATGTTGTTTTATGTACCCCATAATTCATAAAATTCCTTATGTACTACTTTTTTTTGTAATTTTATTGTTTTTAAAACTTTTTTATTAGACATATTTTGTCTTTTTGTTATTTTTTGTTTTGTTTTGTTTTTTTTTTTGTCTTTTTTGTTGTCTTTTATTATAAGTATTATTATTATTATTATTTTAAAAAAAACTGATTTGATTAAATGTCTCTTTAGTGAAAAAAAATCACACAAGGATAATCTTAATGAAAAAAAATACAAAGATAGTGTCAATGAAAAAAATAATATATGAATACTCCAAACGGAAAAATAACAATCCCCAAAAAAGACAAATATATGATATATCTACGATTTCAATAATGTGCACTCAACGACTCCTAAAATCATATACATCAAATCAACAAACCTGGCTACATGAGTGACGTGTGTCGAATGGGTAGATAATATCATAGTAAATTATTTGGAAAATTCTATATGTTTTATATCCCCTTTGTAAGCGAAATAGTGTGTACCCCTCATGATTTGACAATTTATGTGAGTGAGGAAGATACATATAATAACACCCTAAAATTCAACGAGATTTAAGACCCGTGAAAAAGTGCAAGCAATCATCTCATATTTATATTCATGTTCCTTAATTTATATTTTCTTTTTAAAAATTGTTTTCTACATAACATATTTTTAGAAAGAATAAATAAAATATTCGACAAATTCATCGTCAATTGAGTTATTTGTAATGAAGTCATAGAGTAACATTTTCTTCGTCCTCAAATAAACTACATTTTAGAAAAAGAATAAATAAGATATTCGACAAATTCATTATCAATTGAGTTATTTGTAGTGATATTCATAGAGTAACTCAAATATAAAGCTAATGGTTTGATATATAAGTTAAAAGATGTTTGGATATGTTGCAAACATTATTATATGGTTTGGTAAAATCATTATAACTTAAATTTCTTGTTTTGGTTACGAAATTATGACTTTTAGATGAGAAACAATTAAGTGGATGTATTCTTTTTATACAAGAATAAATTCCACCAACTTTACTGATTTGATACGTAAACGACAAAAAAAAAATAAAAAAAAATAAAAAAAAATAAATGACGTGTAACAATATAAATCAACCAAAGTGTCTTTGGCCTAACGGGTAACGATATAAAGTGACTCTTTCATTTGGAATGTCATGAGTTCAAGTCTCACTTGAGACATAGGTGGTTATACTTAGGGATGAACAAAAGCAGGTACCCGGCCAAATTGCTTGGAACCGGAACCACCTACACCGGTTCTTAAGATTTCAGAACCGGTCCTGGAACCGGTTGAAAGCGGTTTCAATACCGGGTACCCAGTTAAAAAAAAATCTTATTTTATCACTAAAAGTCAATGTTTCAATACCCAGCTAAAAACTAAATTTTTAGCGAAAAAAGGTTTAAACCCCTTCTCTTTTAGATAGAAGATGGTTTAAAATGGCCAATTATAAAGACCCTTAGAAGGTGGTTTAAAAGGGCCAATTATAAAGACCCTTAGCTGTCCACAAAGATAGGCACACCAACGAGTGCTCTCAAGGCTTTTCCCTCTTGATTCCTTTACAAGCTTTCCCTCTTATAAGGAGTAACATTTTCTCTTTTTACTTCCCACCACCGATGTGGGATAGGAAGATTGAAACCGACTTCCCTTTATTCCTTCGACGCTTTATTTTTTTCTCATTCACATTTGATTTATCGTGTACAATTTTTGCTTAAATCTATTAGTGACCAACATATTACTAATTTTTTTTTTGTAGTATCTACTGTGGTTCATATAAACAAACATAAGTAGTAACATATGCAATAATTTATATATTTGGTAGGTAAGAAAACTTAGTGATTTCATGTCCTTGATGTGCAGATTTAAATACTGAGATTTGTATAGTTAGATTATAAGAAATTCATTTTAATATAAAATTCCATTATGAAAATTCATTTTAAGCACTCAAATTCCAACGAAACCATATAACTTATTATTATTATTATTATTATTATATATATATATATATATATATATATATATATATATATATATAAACATGCATACAACCGGTTCCGGCGGGTACCCAGCGGGTAGCGGTTCCGAAAAAATGAGAACCGAAACCGGAACCGCTTAAGGCGGTTCCAAAACTTTAGGAACCGGAACCGGAACCGCCTTAGGCGGTTCCGGTTCCGAAAGCAGGTACCATGTTCTGATGCTCACCCCTAGTTATAGTTAGGAGTACACCACCATACCACGAAACCTATACCACATCATCTTCCACACCAATTCATTTTAGCTAGAAAATGGTCACTACACCACCATACCAACGAAACCTATATCGAACAACCTTATGAAAAAAGATAAGTTGCAATGCAAGAATTACTAGTGAGACATTGTTGCAATAAGCACAAATGTAAATCTATCGGAAGACTTGTTTGCTAAAATAGTTTAGTTATTAGTTATAGTGTCTAATTGTTTCAATTTCCCGAGTTTAAAGATAGTAGTTTTGCCGATTTTTCTAAAATAGTTTGATTATTAACTATATAAGTAAGACCAATGGGAACACCTCTTGTAACACCCTTTTATTTATTAAATAAATAAACAAATTAATGAACGAATAGAAGCCCTAAAATAAATAATTATATATCAAATGATGGTCTCGTAGAGCTAATTGTCACACTCTAAGAGATTGGGGGTTAAAAGTGTAAAATCCAGACTTAATTTCTAAGTTTTATGGAAGGCGGGGACTAAATGAAAATTATGGGGACTTCATTGAAGAGATTTTTGAGGCCTAGGGGCTGTTTGGTAAATCAGGTATCAAATTTGAAGGGGGTTTCCGAAGCTGGGGTAGAAAAGGTAAAATTTGGGCCTAGTTTGAAAAGGTATGGGCAGTGAGGGACTAATTGTGGCATTATGGAAGAATGTTTAAGGGCATCGGGTATATAGGGAACAAACCCTAACCCTATTGACCATCTTATGCAGCCGTCACCCTCCAACCTTATACCTCCCTCACCGGCCGCCACGCTCTCCATTTTCACTTCCGACTGCTGCCATCACCATTAGAGCCCTCGTCGGCCACCAGTTGCATCACCGAGTCCGACAGCTAGGTTCCACCTGCTGCATTGACGTGGGACGTCTGCCATCCTCCTCCCCCACTGTTTTTCCAGCCGCCGTTTGAGTCGCTGCACCGCCTGTGAGGAAGACGAAGCCACCGCCGGACGCCGCATCTCCCAGCGACGTCGGTGGCCCTTGTGCCGTCAGTGAAGACCGAGCAGATTCCCTCCTTCGTAGCTGCTGCTGATGTTATTTGCTTCATCCCTCCTCCTCCGTAATTTCGGCGCTAGACCACAGTCACGACCCGTCGCCCGCTACTACTGTCGTTGTGGCTCGCCGCCACCGTTGCCTCCTTACGGTTGGTTTGCTCCGTCCAGTACTCCGGCATGGGGCAGCCTCAGCTTGGCTGTGGGTTTCACACATGTATGTGCTCGGGAGAATTTATATCAGTTTATGTCCATTGTGTGTGTGTGTATGGAGTGGTTGGGTCGCCGGAAAGCAAGTGCACCACCATGGCAGCCAACCATGGTGGTTGTCGCCGTTTATACCTTTCTGCCGCTGTGTACCACCACCGACCACCACAAGGGTGGTAGCGGGTGTGTGTTTATTTAGTATCGTATGTGTGTGTTTATTTCGTGAGTTCATTGTAATTGTAAAAATTGGAATAATGAAAAGAAACTCAAACCACCACCGTAGGGTGGTGGCTGCCGCCACCGGCCGCCGTGTCGGGTGGCGGTGTGCCTTGTTGGATCGTGACTTGTTTGGATGTTTGGACAAAGGGACTAACAAACCCTAATGGGCCTAATGAACCCTAAGGGGCCCAATGAAGCTTAATGGACCTAAAAGCCCAAACAGATGACTAATGGGCCTAGTAAAACCTTAATGAGTCTAGTTAACCTTAATTGATCAAAATACATATCATTTGGGCCTAATGGACTAAGATGGGGTTGGAAACCCTAATTAGGGTTTAGAAAACCCTAATATTGGATTTATGGGCTTGGACTTATTGGGACCCACTTTTGGGCCATTGGAATAATGGAATTGTGTGATTAAGCCCAATCACACCATATGACTTATTTAGAAGAATGATGGACTTAATGGATTAAGTCCTTAATGGGTTAAGTGAGAAACACTTAACCCTAATCGTCATTTTATGTGAAACCCTAATTTCACATA